CCCACCCCTCTTCTTGTGGGCGCCGTTAATTCAGAACAAACACAAGGACAGACAAGAGGAAAGATCTCCAAGTAGATGTACAATGTACATACCTGTCACAGTCGACAGACATAAGTATAGATCTACCTGTACTGTGTACCTATCTGTCACAGTTGACAGACACAAGTATAGATCTACCTGTACTGTGTACCTACCTGTCACAGTTGACAGACAAAAGTATAGATCTACCTGTACTGTGTACCTATCTGTCACATAGACAGATTAGAACAAAGACCCATAATCTTGTCGCAAGAATTCATTCCTTCTTCATACATTACACTAATAAATATGCATTCCTCGGCCTTCCAACCTTAAGCCTATTAATTCCCCCGTGATTGCTGTCTACAGCTGTAGGAATCTCTGGCAACAGTATTCTTAAAAATTCTCAAACTCAGAGTTATTCTTAAGAAGATTATTGATGATTTCTGAAAGTGAAATGTTTAAAACACCAGGGTGAAGCGGAGTCGACGATGATAACCATGGGCAATATCGTGGCTCCATGATAGAGGTGAATAGCGGATACCTTTGCTGGAGCAAAGATCTACCTGTAGTGTGTACCTACCTATCACAGTCGAGCACTGTACTGATGCGGTGAGCGATGGTGATGGTGGTGCAGTCCCGGAACACTCGCCGCACGGTGCTCTGTACCAAGGTGTCCGTCTCCATGTCTACGGAAGACGTGGGCTCGTCCAGGATCAGGATCTTTGTCTTCCGGAGCAGCGCCCTGGTCAGACATACCAGCTGTCTCTGGCCGGAGCTGGGCAAGGAAGAGAGAAACAGTTAGAATGATTGACAGACAGATTTATATACTTTTTTTGGTAAATGTTTTACGGCGCTCGCAACTGCATAAGGTCATATGAGCGCGCGGTACACACCAAAAGTTTTCAGTGGGTAGGAAATTTTGAATTTTGCCCAGGTGGCGGCCGAATCCTACTCTTAACGATTTATGACCACCAAAGGATCTTTAACGTGCGCAACTTAACACAGGACCTCCGAGTTTTTTCGCCCTTGTCCGAGAAGGCTAGGTGTAGATCTTTCCTACCCGAAAATCAAGGGTGTGGCTGAAAGACAGCAGTAAGAAGGAAAAAGGAGTAGCAGAAAGAGTCAGAAGCCCAGAGGAGGGGGCAGACGGAGTGAGGGGGTGGGGGCAGAAAGTGGAGACAAAAGCAGACAACAGAACATTGTTAGAGAGCAGGAAAGGAGGTGAAAGGAGATAATTTAACAGAAGAAAATTTTTTGGTCCCTAACCGGAATCGAACCCGGGCCCTTGAATGGGAGGCCGTCTTGAGTTACTAAGACCATGAGGTCCGAAACTAAACCTTCTGTCTGCTCTATCAAAACTGTAAGGTTATTGGGAGTCGCTATCAAATGAATCAAAGTATCGCATTCGTATAAGCTTAACCCTATTGTGAAACTAAACGTTACATTTGTACGTCAGATTTCTCAAAACGAGGTGCTAATCAGATAGAACTTTGTACATGTAGTTCTAGAATACCGATGTCTTTTTTTTCGGAGCAATGTAAATTATCTGTTTCGTGTTTTAAAAAAGCAAAAGGATCTGAACAGTAGTTAATAAAATGTAAAATGTGATCCCACACTCTTCTAAAAGGAAAGACTACATAATATAGTCTCCCCCCCCCCCTTTTTCACACCAGCAGGAGGTACACAGGTTTTAATAACCGAGAGACAACGTACGTGACTGGTATTGTACAATATGTTTAGATATCTCTGTATACCATAGACCACAGATAAGCGACATACACCACACGTGACTGGTATTAATTATACAGCTTAGATATCTCTGTATACAATAGACCACAGAAAAGCGACAGTCAGGCTAATCGTACACCACATGTATGTTATATGACTTGTCACCCCAGCCTTTCAACGAATCTATTTGTGAGGCAGCGTGGTGGAATTAGGCTCTCGTCAAGTTTTGGACATATTGAGTTATTGGTATCATCATAAAGCTTGTTCGTTTGTCTTGCTTTCAATGAAAAAATGACCCATCCATCTTTAATAGAAGTGGAGATATTTTGGATAGAAGAAGGTGGGGGTCTCCTGGTTTAAGAGGTAACATTAGCGAGAAAATGGCCGCCAAAGCTTGGTAAATTCCAAAGTTGGAGAGTCCATGGAAACTGTAAATTTATATTTTTGTGCCTTTAATCAAACGTTTTCGGTGAAATCCTCAAAGGAATGTGTTCGTAAATGGACATAAAAGGTGTTGAGGCAAAAAAAATAATTTGATAAAAATTGCGAAGCAGGGAGAAAACTGCTGTTTTCTTCGATTTCATTATTTTGACGAGAGCCTGATTCCACCACGCTGCCTCACATTTGTTGTCAGCTGATGTCATGATTGATTGAGTAATAGACTACACATCCTCGTGAGGACAATGTATAGATTTATCGTTCTTGCCTTGTGCACCCCAAGAACAAGTTGTTGGGATGGAGTGGTCTACCTTGTCCTTGTATCATGTTGTATTATGTAGGTGATGGTCTTGATTATTCCTGCCTGCCAGTATCACATGGAAGAATAGGCATATTGTTTAGTACAATTTTTTTGAATCAATAAATTTGTCTTTGGCAATTGATTTTGACATCAGCATGACTTAGACTTATGTATAAATTCGCCTTTGCTCACTCATCCTTCCGTACCTCTCCAGCAGTGCTCACACCACCCACCAGCCTACCTGAGACTCAAGCCCGTGTCGCCCAGCTCAGTGCTGAGTCCTGCAGGCCAGGCTGAGACGACGTCCAGTAAGTGGGACATACTGAGGGCTGCCCAGATGTCTTTGTCCTGACACACGCCCAGGGGGTCTACGTTGGACCGGAGTGTGCCCGACATAATCACGGGGTCCTGTGAGAGGGAGATGGTGATGATACATGTAATATTCTTTATGCAGAAGATAATAAGAATTTTTATAAAAATGTAAGAATAAATCATCATCATCATCATCATCATCATCATCATCATCATCATCATCATCATCAT